TCCAGAACCAGACGCGACGTCCTCCAAGAATGCCTCGTTTGAACGGGTGCAGATTGTCAACGACCAGAAGCAGTTTACGTGGGTATCATCTTTGACCTCCGATCATTGTACTCCTTGCTGAGGATGTTGTAGGACGGAGCTCACGACTCAAATGCAACAGTGGGGGATGCATGACGCCGGATTCGATTATGATATTGTTGCAGTATTTGGTTCTCAATCAACTGGCAAAAGTGAGTTCAGGGATATACTTCTATATGTCTTAACTCAACAAATCTCGTAGGTACATTGCTCAATCGCCTCTTCGGCACTAATTTCGACGTCATGGATGAGACTCAGCGTCAGCAAACCACGAAGGGTGAGCGAGATAGCGTGCGCTGTGATTGACTGCGCTGAGCGATGTGACAGGTATTTGGATGTGTAGAGGGAAGAACATGAACGTAATGGTCATGGACGTAGAGGGAACTGATGGGCGGGAACGTGGTGAAGACCAGGTGTGTGCCACGCTGCGTTCGCCTTTGCGATTCACTCAACGAACGGACAGGACTTCGAACGCAAATCAGCGCTATTCTCATTGGCATCTTCCGAGGTGCTCCTTGTGAACATGTGGGAGACTCAGATTGGTCTTTACAATGGTGCAAACATGGGACTGCTGAAGACAGTGTTCGAAGTGAACCTTGGGTTGTTCGGGAAGCAGACGCCTGACGGGTACGCTCTTCGCAATTCCTAATCCTGCCACAGACTGAAGTTCCACAGTCGAACACAGCGGACACTTCTGTTGTTCGTCATTCGTGATCACATCGGCCAAACACCTTTGACCAGCTTGGCGTCGAGTCTGTCAGTAGATATGCAGAAGCTATGGGATTCGATCTCCAAGCCACCTGAACTTCAAGATCGCAAACTGTCGGACTATTTCGACCTTGATTTCGCGGCGTTGCCACACAAACTGCTTGTGCCTGAAAAATTCGAGACAGCAGTGCAGACACTACGGACGCGTTTCACAGATAAGTCAAGTCCTGGATATGTGTTCAAGCCCGTATATCATAAGCGAATCCCCGCCGACGGTGTCTCTTTCTACATGGAGGGCATTTGGGTATGTTAATGTACTAAGTAACTCTGTCCTATATGCTCATTTACTCTGTAGGAACAAGTGCAAACGAATAAGGATCTTGATTTGCCTACCCAACAGGAATTGCTAGCACAGTTCCGTTGCGACGAAATCTCTGCGGCAGCCTTGGCCGAATTCAATGAGCAGGCCAAACCGCAACGGCGTCCTATCGAAGCAGGAAAGGTGGTGGATGGACTAGGTCAAATGATGCGGGCTTGGAGGTCTGGCGCTCTTGGTGAGCAATCTCGCTCGTCCTACGCTATGCGCTGAAGTCAACAATATCCTCAGCTCGCTATGATCGTGACGCTTCAAGATACCATCAAGGTGTATATAAGAGGAAACGTGCGGATTTGGTCGCTGTCCTCGACTCGACTTTGTCGCCCCTTTTCCAGGGCCAGCTCAAGAATCTCGCGAAGCAATCTCTCGTCTCATTCAAGCAGGAGATCCTGGAAGGTCTCAAGGGTGACAGTTACGACTTTGCTCAGATCGTAGGAGCAGCAAGATCGAACTGTGAGAAGCGATTCGTCGAGGGTGCCAAAGAGGCTTTCGTTGAGGAAACCGATTGGAGCTACGAAGAAGATCTGAGCATATTGACGGAAGAAGTCCAGGCGGTGGCGGACCAATGCAGAAAGGATGAGACAAAGAAAATGATCAATATGATTGAAGTAACTCCTTCACAGTTTCTTTTCGACATTCGAATTCGCTCACTCACCCTCGTGTTCCATAGAGGAACTTCAAACGCCAGATTGCAGAACCAGTGGAAGTATATCTCGGGCAGGCTACTCCGACCATGTGGGACGACATCCTAAAGACCTTCAAGACAACTTTGGATAAGGCAGAGTCATCCTATCTGGCCAAAGCACGAAGTACGCACATCCCCGACTTTACACATCGTTCGGCTATTGATCTTGTCTTCGCTAGGCTTCAATTGCACTGAAGAAGAGAACACATTTGCTTTGGCCTCCATCAGAAGGCGTACTTGGATGGTTCTCCGAGCCAAGATTGACGAGCAAACCTCCGACGCTGCGTTCTTAACGAAGTTGCGTACCCACTTCGAGGAGCGCTTCCGTTACGACGAGGCTGGCGTCCCTCGCGTCTGGAAACCGGAAGATGACATCGACGGCTTCTTCAAGAAGGCAAAGGATGAAGTTTGTGATTCTAACTTTAACCTCTTTCATTGTACTGATCATGTATGCGTTACAGACACTTGATTTGATCCCGCGTTACTCAAAGATCAAGCCCACTGATCCTTCCAATGAATATACCATCGAGTCTGATTCTTCCGACTCCCTGATCTCTGGCGACGACGAATTCGACTTCGCCTCCACTCTCGTTATCTTCTCGGACATCAAAGCTATCGATATCTCCAACAGGTTCCGCAAGGACGCTGACGCATACTACGTCGAAGCGAAGCGAAGCACCGTATCGAGTATCGCCCAGATTCCATTGTGGATATATGGCGTTCTTGTGGTGCTTGGCTGGAACGAAGCCATGGCCGTGTTGTTCAACCCGTTGTATTTCGCCACCTTGTTGATTATGGCAGCCACTACGTGAGTACTGCTATCTTCGAAAGCTTGCTGCCTCATCCCAGCGATTAATATCATTTGTTTAGATACATTATCTGGCAGCTGGGTCTCACTGGTCCCGCGTTGCAAGTTGGACGGACAATTGTATCGGAGGTACGCATGCGTCATTGCTACCAAATGTCAAGTTGTTGACCACATTCAACAGGTTCAGCGTCAAGCAGGCGCAAAACTACGAGAACACTTCTCCGAACCTGCACTTGCCTCTCCAGTTCAGAATAGAGCAAACCGTACTTCGGAGCGTCGCGTCAAGCGTGAAGGATCCACAGGTAGCGCGCGGTTCAACGTCAAGAGTGAACTGTCAGAGGATAACATTCATTGAAGGGAGGGTAATAGGCTCGTGGTTCCTTTCGTTTTTACGGACTTGCACTGTCTTCCTTGATTATATTTTCTGTTATATTTTACCTCGGAGAGTACTTATAATAAGCCGTTGATTTATCAGTGTTCTGTCATTGGGATCAACAGTTGGAATGCAGGATCTCATGTTCATCACGGCTGTCATGTTGCTCTGAGCGTTCTTATAACCAGGCCGTGTGGAAGACCTTCGCCCACCTTATTACTGAACCTATACCCTCACAGGTCTTGGAAGTTGCCCCGATGAAAACAGCTGGCCATCTCCCCAGGTTTCCTCCGGAGGTTTGGGAGAATGTTCTCGACCTTCTTCCTGAACTCCAGGTTCATCATTCCGTCATACGAAATACTCTGCTCTCGTGCTGCCTCGTGTGCCACGACTGGCTTCCTCGATCTGCTGTCCACCTTCGGCTGTCTCAGGCATCCAGAACAACCACTATCCGATCCCGCACAGACTTGTTGCGTCTCGTCCAGGTCCTCACCGCCACGCCATACCTCTGTTCGCGCGTGGAGAAGCTGAGGCTCGTCGCTGAAGACGAGGATCGTGACCAATCGTGGGTATCGTCGGTCCCAATGCGCCTCGCTTCCAAACTTCCCCATCTGGACGAGATCACCCTCCTTGGGTTCAACTTGTCCAACAAGCACCCCGAGTTTTACAGGTCGTACGCGCTGTTCCCTCTGACGCAGCGTCTCGTCTTGGTGGACGTTCGGTACACCCGTCTTTCTCAACTCGCTCGCCTGGTGGCCGCAACTCGCGCTCGCAGTTTGGTTGTGAAAGACGTGAAAGATAGTACGGTGTCAAAAACCGACAGAGATGACTTCTTCTATGTCAGGAAGGTTAGTGCGGTGGACGTCAGGTATCTCCGCTCCGGTTTGCACTCTCAGCATCTCAATAATGTGCGCGTGCAACTGGAGTGGGCGGAGATGAGCTGGGCGTGTCAATACTGGATGTTCTCCGCTCAGCATATTGTGCTGGAGACCGCGTGGCCGGATGTTCTCGATGGAGGGTTCCAAAGGCTCCACGCAGAGGGCTTGGGATACATTGCTGGGCTGTTCCAGCGTAACGTGTCGCAGGCCGAGCCTCCCAAAGCCTTGGAATTGGAACTCATCGTTGGCGAGTTTTGTCACGTGACGCTCAAGAAGGGTGGTGAGTTGAATTTAATCAACCGTTCATAATCAAGTAGTGGAACTTCCTTGCCACTATAGATCTATTGAATGTCATGGTACCGCAAGATCGACACATTCTAAAGGTGGACATGGAAGTGGAGGGTTTGGACGACCAGCGATTGAAGATTCTCGCAGAGCTCCTGATCTCGCTCTCTGCAGCTCCGTTCAACACAATCAACCTCCTCATCAGAGGGCGCAAGTATTCCAACGCCGATTTGTACTACTGGGTGCCTCAGGACTGCGCCGTCCTGACACGCAGCGTCAGAGAGCGATGGGAACATCTGGACGCCGCTCTGCTTCATCCCAGCTTCGCAGGAATACATACCATGAAGGTGATGCTTCGTCTCCCTCCAAAAGACTTGCCGCATCCGTACATGTGCCAGAGTGACCTGATGAAGGATCTGCTTCCCTATGCGACGCAAAGACAGGGGATGAAATGGGTGGAATGTCCGGCATCGTACTATGCGCAGGAGATGTGCATATACCACATGTGAGTATCTGCTTCATCTTCCAGCGGTTCGGTTCTCATGGCTTACCCTTCGGTACAGTCTGGGACAGCATAGCGATACATATTACAACCACTTCAGTGTATCTACTTAGCATGGTGTGGGGGGGCAAATTACTCTTCTTTTCAGCTTTCCCGATGAGATCACGTGATAGCACCATCAGCCCCATTCAAATTGTCACTATCAGGATTATCTTTCAAAAGGCTCAAATCTTTTGTGCATGTTCCAAAACCCACTTTAAATGTTTTTGCTGCAAATGAGTGTAAGATAAAGGCCAGCAAAAAAGGATGAGTCGGCCCAGGTTCGAACTGAGGACCTTCTGTGCGCCTATTACGTAAGCATTACAACCACGTGATGCTAATGTTAGACAGATGCGATAACCAACTACGCCACCGACCCGTTGAAAAGAGAGCGTCAGATAAACTTACAGTAGGCGCCTTTCCCCTGCATCTGGTTTGCAAGTGACCGTCCTTGCTTTGTCCGAATTTCCACCTCCTCCCCTCCGAACTCTTCTACGGTCGGCGCTGCAGTCACCATGCATCTTTACAACCTTACACTGCAGCCTCCGACCGCAATTACTCAAGCAATCGTTGGCAACTTCTCTGGTGCCAGGCAGCAGGAAATTATCGTCTCTCGTGGTACAAGACTCGAACTCCTTCGCCCAGATGTTCAGACCGGAAAGGTCTCCACCGTGATTGCGAGCGACGTGTTTGGATCCATCAGGTCATTGGCAGCGTTTCGTTTGACTGGAGGCACCAAGGGTGAGCTTGAGTACGTATCTGGTTCATTTGCAGCACTCTCATACCCTTTCGCGTTCTCAGACTATGCGATCGTAGGCTCCGACTCTGGTCGTATTATCATTCTCGATTATGACCCGAAAACGAGCAGCTTCGTCAAGGTTCATCAAGAAACATATGGAAAGTCTGGAGCACGTCGTATTGTCCCTGGGCAATACCTTGCTATTGACCCGAAGGGACGTGCCGTCATGATTTCCGCCATGGAGAAGGCCAAACTGGTGTATATTCTGAACCGTGACGCTGCCGCCAATCTGACGATCTCCTCGCCACTGGAAGCCCACAAAGCGAACGCGATCATTCACCATACGGTTGGCCTGGATGTCGGATTTGAGAACCCCATGTTTGCGGCGTTGGAGGTGGATTATTCAGAGTCAGACCAGGATCCAACAGGGGAAGCGTTTAACGCGGCAGAAAAGGTGCGTCCCCTTCGCATTACAGTCATACCCTCACATGTAACGCTATCTTCTGCAACAGATGCTCACCTACTACGAATTGGACCTGGGATTGAACCACGTCGTACGGAAATGGAGCGAACCTACGGACCCTCGCGCCAATCTCCTTGTGCAAGTTCCTGGTGGTCAACTAGCATCGTCCGACCGATATGACGGACCGTCTGGTGTGTTAGTCTGCTGTGAAGATCATATTATATATCGACACATGGACGTGCCCCAGCACCGCGTGCCCATCCCCCGGAGAAGACATCCTCTTGAAGACACAGAGCGTGGTCTGATTATTACCGCTGCTGTCATGCACAAAATGAAGGTTGGTGAATTCCCCTGTCAACAGATCCAATCTCTGAAGCAGTCTCGTCCCTCAGGGTGCCTTCTTCTTCCTGCTCCAAAGCGAGGAAGGTGATCTGTACAAGGTAACCATTGAACACGATGAACAAGACGTCAAAGCTCTCAAAATCAAGTATTTTGACACGCTGCCCGTTGCGTCCAGCCTCTGCATCTTGAAGTCTGGTTTCCTCTTCGTCGCGTCAGAGTTCGGAAACCAGTTGCGTATTCTTTGCCTACTCGTCTGGGGCTCTCGCTGACTCCATGGGTTACAGCTACCTTTATCAGTTCCAAAAGTTGGGTGACGACGACAACGAACCTGAATTTTCGTCCCGAGATTATCCCTCTTACGGCATGGCTAACCCAACATCACCCCTTCCACGAGCGTACTTCCGCCCCCGCGCACTGGACAACTTGACTCTTGTCGATGAGCAAGAGTCCCTGGCACCAGTGGTTGACTCGAAGGTCATGAACATCCTACCGAATTCAGACACGCCTCAAATATTTGCCGCGTGCGGTCGTGGAGCGAGGAGTACATTCAGGACTTTGCGCCACGGTTTGGATGTGGAGGAGGTGGTCAGCTCAGATCTGCCGGGTATCCCTAACGCTGTGTGGACAACGAAAGTGAAGGAAGAAGGTGCATAGCCCCCGTTTCCAGACCTTTAACATCCGGCTGATGAGATTTTCAGATGAGTTCGACTCGTATATCATCCTTTCTTTCGTGAACGGCACATTGGTTCTATCTATTGGAGAAACAATTGAGGAAGTTCAAGACACTGGTTTCCTTTCCTCTGCCCCCACCTTGGCCGTCCAGCAGATAGGCGCTGATGCCCTTCTACAAGTGCACCCGCAGGGTATCCGACACGTTCTGGCTGACCGGAGAGTAAATGAGTGGCGCGTTCCCCAGGGGAAGACCATCGTGAGCGCAACAACAAACAAACGACAGGTGGTCGTCGCTCTTAGTTCCGCTGAACTGGTGTATTTCGAATTGGATCTGGACGGACAGCTCAACGAGTACCAAGACAGAAAGGCGATGGGTAGCACAGTCCTGGCCTTGAGTATTGCTGAGGTTCCAGAGGGACGGCAACGAACGCCATTCTTGGTACGTATCCCTGTGCAATATACACCCAGAAGACTTTACTCACTATTACCCTTAGGCGGTTGGTTGTGAGGACCAAACCGTTCGAATCATCTCACTGGATCCAGATAACACACTGGAGACGATTAGTTTGCAAGCACTGACGGCACCTCCGTCTGCTATCTGCATCGCCGATATGTTGGACGCTGGTCTGAACAAAACGCAGTTGACGACATTCGTGAACATTGGTCTTCAAAATGGTGTCTTGCTACGAACAGTACTTGACCCTGTCACTGGTAATCTCACGGACACACGGACAAGGTGAGAATGGCGCCGCATACCTCAACATGTAGATCTGATCCCATATTTTGTTAGATTTTTGGGCACACGACCGATTCGTCTCATCCGAGTGATGGTTCAGCGTAATCCCGGTATCCTGGCGTTGTCATCCAGGTCATGGCTCAACTACACCTACCAGAACCTCATGCACTTCACGCCTCTAATCTTTGAGAACTTGGACTACGCATGGAGTTTCTCGGCTGAGCTGTGTCCAGAGGGTCTGATCGGTATTTCTGGTAGTGTCTTGCGGTGAGTTACAGCCAAGTCCCTTGAAAGGTGCCATCCTTGACGAGCGTGCCTTGCAGGATATTCCAAATCCCACGTCTTGGAACCAAGCTGAAGCAGGATGCTATCCCTTTGTCCTATACACCTCGAAAGTTCATCCCACATCCTCATAACGGCCTGTTCTACCTCATTGAGGGTGACCACCGAGTGATGGCCGATGCAGCTGCCAGGCAGAAGATTGAACAACTAGTAAGCTATTCGCTTTTATTTTGTGATTTACGTGAGGCTGATGTCTGCTCAGCGGCAGCAAGGAAAAATGATTGATGACGAGCTCCTTGATCTTCCACCAGAGCAGTTTGGTCGACCGAAAGCTCCAGCTGGGACCTGGGCGTCGTGTATTCGAATTATTGACCCTGTCGAGGTGAGTCTTTTCAACGTTCGCCTTCACCAGCGGCGCTAAACGTCCATCAGGCCAAAACTGTCAACCTCATTGAACTGGACAACAACGAGTCAGCATTCTCGCTCGCCGTCGTCCCTTTTGCTGCGCACAACGGTGAACTTCATCTGGTGGTTGGAACAGCACAAGACACATTCTTGGCACCGCGGTCATGTACATCCGGTTTCCTGCGCACGTACCGCTTTGTGGATGACGGTAGGGGTTTGGAATTGTTGCACAAGGTTTGTGATCCAGTTCACGTCAGTGCCCCCATGCTAAATGCAAATCTTTAACCTTCAGACGGAGACCAACGATGTTCCACTTGCTGTCCTTGCCTTCCAGGGAAGGCTAGTGGCTGGTGTTGGAAAGTCGTTGAGACTGTATGACATCGGGAAGAAGAAGCTGTTGCGTAAGGTTGAGAACAAGGTATGCCTTCACGAGTCGTTCTCGGATGCGATTCCCGCTAACCATGGGCCGTCCCAAGACCTTCTCGTCTGCAATTGTCACCTTGAGCACCCAAGGCTCCCGTATAATCGTCGGGGACATGCAAGATTCTATCTCATACGCGGTGTACAAGGCACCAGAGAACCGCCTCCTGGTCTTTGCAGATGACACACAACCCCGCTGGATCACGTCCTCCACAATGGTCGACTACAACACCGTCGCAGCAGGTGACCGGTTTGGTAACGTCTTCGTGAACCGCCTGGACGCCAAGATTTCCGATCAAGTCGACGACGACCCAACTGGTGCCGGGATCCTGCACGAAAAGGGTGTCCTGGCAGGCGCACCGCATAAGACGGCGATGATCGCGCACTTCCACGTCGGAGACATCGTCACAGCGATCAACAAAACATCCCTCGTCGCCGGAGGTAGAGAAGTCCTTCTGTACACTGGGTTGCACGGGACGGTGGGTATACTGGTGCCGTTCGTGTCCAAGGAGGACGTCGACTTTATCTCCACTTTGGAGCAGCACATGCGCACGGAGCAGGGCAGTCTGGTCGGGAGGGACCATCTGGCGTGGAGGGGGTACTACGTCCCTGTGAAGGCTGTTGTTGATGGAGATCTGTGCGAGACGTTCGCGAGGTTGCCGCAGAGCAAGCAGAGTGCGATTGCTGGGGAGTTGGATAGGACGGTTGGGGAGGTGTTGAAAAAGCTGGAGCAGCTGCGTGTGACCGCGAGTGGGTTCTAGTCGTATGGGTCGTTCTGCTGTGCTTTTATTGTACTGTCCGTTGTTTTTTGTCTGCATTCTATGATAATAAACCTTGCTTGCGACGCTGTATTCCATCACTTCGTTTGTATCAAGTGGACGATCTCAACGATAGTTGTACGTTCAACGTTCAACACACAAGGGAACCAAGTGAGGACCACGCCATGTATACCAAGCCTCGACAACAACAAACTCGCAATAAACGACAACATGGGACAGTTGGATATACAGGGGAAAGCAGAGTCCGTACGAGTCCTCTCATGCTACGAGGATCTCTAGTTAATTGTGAACTCGGGGCTGCGGTTTCCGGAATCTCCAAACACTGATGAATGATCAGCCACCTTTCCTTCAGAACGATGAAGCGGTAAAATACTTACGGACGACGATGTAGTTATTGCCCGGAGGCACCTGCGGGACCCTGACCTTGATACTTCCTCTCATGATGTCAAAGTTGGCGGCGAGAGGGTTATCTGCAGGGCGAAGGTTCCTATCGTTCAGCTATGTATCGATGAATGCAGAGAACAGGGAGGACTCACCGAGG